TACTAGAGTTTTTTTGTTTACTTATGCTTATAAGGGGATGAATTTTTGCTTACCGCGGTCAACTAAACTAACCTGTTCGCACCCGGACCTACACCTACGCAATGACAATAATCGTATAGCCCGTCTAAACGCCCCTTTCTTCTTCATTCTTCTGGTCTCATTCTCGTCCAGCCCCCTTTTTTAACGATTTTTCGAAGCTTTTCCACTTCAAAAACACCGATCCACGCAGTTCCTTCGCCTCCATCGCACTATTTTCCATCTCATCTTCCATTTTTCGTCATAATCCGGGTTATCCAAAATTATCATGAAGTGTGCCTTTGCGTATGCACAGGCTTCAAAGTAGTTTTCTTGTGAAACAGAACAAATATCACTCTAAAACTGTTACTTTGGCAAAAGGTTCGTTATAAGCGGCATTTGTGCGAACAGATGTCCAACATCTGTCCATTGCCTAATGTAAACATGACCAGTAGCTTACGCGCTGTGGATGTTAATACTCCAAGGGTTACCCTCTACTTGAGATCATAAAAGTGTTTTCCTCTCTCCAAAAATCTCATTGCCCAAATTATGCAAGAGGGCTTTTCCGTTCACCGTATATTCGAAAGAAATTTTTGACCTCATCCCGTCATAGGACACAGCAATAACTGCCCTTTGATTAAATAATACACTGACCAAGTGTACGGGATGTCGAGCACGTTACGGAATAAAATTGATTACAGTACGGGAATGTTATGCTTTCCAGGAAACCCTCTGAACATTTCTTGAAGTATGCCTACTCTGGTGAATGTTGAAATGGGTGAATGTTCCTATATCCGAATTCCAACAGTAGTTACCGTAATGTTCTGCTTTCTTAACAGTCAACACAGTCACAGTACCAATTTTCAACGGCGTGGGCACTTTGCATTCCAACAGATACCGCGTGGAGAGCCTAGCCGGATTCTGACGATAAAGGGGGAGGGGGGTGAGAGACTCTTCAGGAGACTGATATGGAGGACCTAGGAAGAAGGAAAAGTAGAACAAAGTGTTGGTTCGATTTAGGTGTAGGTCAAGATGAATAGCCAATAATGCAGAAAAGGTTCTCCACCAGATGCAAAAACAAGTCGATTTAGGTAGTATAAGGTTTTAATTCGTGAACTTGGAAGGGAAACGCGTTTTCGGACGATGTTAGCACTTAACATCGTTTCAACTATCCGCAATAATATGACCAAGCTCCAAAAATGTTTGGCCTGTTGGAGACCAGAAATTCAATACTAGCGATATCGATATTGTTATTCAATACTACCTACTTCGCTCCACCCTTGAAGATACTGGGCTGACCCCGATTGCTAACAGTAGATATTTAGAGATCATATGTCTGTTCCATTTTTACAAGTAATTATTAGGGAAAGTGACTGAGGCCGCGGATCATTCACCCATATGACGACTGTACAACTTTTTTTTCTGCGAGTAGCGACCACGATGACTGCCTCTTAATGCTCGTGACGATTGGACAATGCCAGTTCGCCCATGTGCCTTATCTCCATGCTATGCATAATTAAGATCACGACATGATCACAGATGTACAGGGAGGTATACACGGGTGTACTATTAATGATCAGCAATGAAGCTGAAGTTATGATGACTAATTGAAGGCATTGATGGCCTTCATTGTTTTCGAAAACAGTTCTAAAACCTCAAAAAGAGTTATGGCCGACCGGAATTGACAAATCCATAGCGATAGAGCTGTGAGATCATAAATTGTTGTGCAACCAGTTGACATAGAGCGGTGATGACGTGAATTTGTTGTGGCATCGGTGGACTGTGCTGCCAGCACGACTTCATACCGTGGAGGCAACCTGAACGTTTCACTGGGAATATTGTTTTTATGCAGGATTTCTCTGCTAGAACACGTCAAAAGTTTATTGTGGAAGCTATCTGATCACTTCCAGTGCTTGGCACACGAACTGTTAGAAAAGAGCCTTCATATTATTTTTGAATCCGAACTTATGATGAAACCTGAGATTCGAACTTATGGTGATACCTGAGATAGATGATTCTCTTATCTTATGTACCTATATGTGAATTGTTTAGTGGTGATTCAGAAGGACAAAGCAACAAACAAGTGGTACCCACGTGTCATGACTTTCGCACTACAAGTCACATCCCAATTTCCTACATCCTATTCTGCACGACTATTATCCGCTCATGGTTCTGGTCACCAATGTGCACCCATTAGAACTCTGCACAAATAATGCTTACCGCTTTGCAGAAACTTATCGTCCATTTTTTTTTCCAAGTTTATCTACCATTAGAAATCATTACTTACACTAAATAACCAGCCCGTCTGGGTGCGTTGATCAAATCATACTGACTAGCCACAATTCCGACGGAATAATTAGTACTCAAGAAAGGCTATGCAGTACACGTATGTATGCGCATAGAAAAAAGATCAGGAGCAAAGGTTTTTCGGAATTTCTGTGTCACTTGGGAAAGAATGAGATTCTCAGTCAATTATATTGCAGGTTCTTTACTATGCGATAGATATTTCACCACTTCCCAAATCTACTGTAAAATCTGACGACGACGCGTTTTACACTATCGAAAAGTCGCTGAAAGTTAGGCCTTGCTGGGGAGAGCTCCTCCATTTCTTTTGGTCGACTGAGTCGCAGCGAACACATCCTGACACTTGAAATTACCAGCGCTCTATAATCCTTCAGCAAACTTTCCTACCCCCGCCCTCACCTGATGCTATGAATTGGCGTCCCTGACAGGTGATGTTCGTATCCGATGAGAGTTCTGTTATCATTGAGGAATCCCGGATATATTGCCTCAGCGTGCAAACATTTTTGAGTTTATGCAGTTTTGTGTTTCCATTGAAGAGTATTTCCCGACCAGCAATACCTTGCACACGTAAACAGCAAACACGATAGTTGGGCTCCCTCGAGACTCAATAATTAGGATTTTAGTCTCTTCAACGCATTTACTGCGATGTGTACATTTGTCCCCTTTGTGCTAAGGTAGAATTTTTGCAACGGAGCAAGCTTGTGGCCCGCCGTTTCAAGCCATCTTGAATTATCGTAAGTAAGGATCTAAAGAAAATCAGCTACTTTAGGTGAACTCATAAATGCACCTGATTTTTCTCCCTTGCGATTACGTGAGACCTCAATGACACGATCTTCTCTCTCGGCGAGACGCTCATTATCTCCGGCGATATTGCCGGATTTGAAAAAACCAAACGAGAAGAATAGCACAGACAATGGAACACAGGCCGCATAGAGTGTAATGTAAATGGTCAGCCACACATGCGGATAGCCACCAGTTGGCCATTTCATCTCCGTGTACAATTTATATCTGAATTGAATGAATTATCTGCAGTGTCCATGAGTCCTGGAATAGCGAACATCTCAAGTGAATTTGAAATGTGTTTTTAAAACTTTCAATAAAAATAAAAAATGTTGTTCAAAGGGAGGATGAGTTAGGATAATGAGTGAATCCATAAATAGTCGCTAAGATGGTTACAGAGGACTGGGGCATTGCTGCTTTGGTATCGTTTTACGAGGGAAAAAAAATTGTGTTAGCTGCATAAATCACAAGACTGAGAGCTATCATCTCATGCAAACTAGTTTGGGGACAAGGTTCAAGAAAACCAAGTTTTTCGACTTCTGTTTAGTACTTATGATGCATCACAGAGTAGTGGTAGCTTTTGTCGAAGCATTTTCGCATAAGGCATGTATGAAAATGTGCTCCCTCCTTGATTAAGTTACAGTGTGACTTTCAATGAAGCAATTCAGGTCATCGCATACTACGATGGGCACCGCGGCATCCCACAACTGATCGAAGTAAGGAGCACGAACAGCGACCATGCACCATCGATGAAACCATCGCTTTAAGTGTCACGCGTTAGAAGATCAACCTCGGTCTTCACAGCCATCGACCATACATGCCGTTGTTAGGGAAGCTAGCACACGTACTATAGAAGCGACGCATGAGTCTGATTATATGACAAAGTAATGAGTCATAAGTCAGTATGAGGGTGGTCTCCCTCCTGTCTTAGTTCTGGGGTTTGGGGTGAGCGATTTTATGGCTCTATCGATCGCTCTGAAAGGGGCTAGTCTAGTGAAAGAGTATGTATTGGGTATCTTGATGACGCATTTGAGCGAGCAAGTTACATATGTCATGACCGTTCAGGCTCTGACGAAAGCGAAGAAGCTGAACAGTTAGCGTAGAAAAATTCCATTCTGGAAGATCTAAATAATCACGGCTACAGATCACAAAATATCCATCTGCCATTTACTCCATTGTCGAAGTCCCATCAGAAGATCCATGGCTTAGACTGATATACCTCGTCTCATGCTATCCCTCGCTTTTCATGATAGAGCCCATCTCCTACTTACCAATTAATACTCCCTCTTCAGGCTCTCTCGGCTACAAAAGCATCCATCAACTTTGCGAAATAAGTAAAGCAGTTACCGACTTCTTTGACTCCAAGTGTCCCCACTTCTGAAAGAAGGAGAATGCTGATACGTTTAGTAGGTAGACTCTGTGGTGAACATGAATGGTGATTATATTCTTGATCAAATCGCATTGTATAGTAAAGACAAAAAGAAATAGTGATATGGTGAATAAGCTTGACCGAACCTTCTCCTCAACCTTTCATGGCTCTGTTATTTATTAACTCTTCCACCAACGAGGGAGTAACAATAGATCATGTTGCAAAGCTACCGAAGACGTCGAATTGAATTTCAGTAGATAACACTTTTTATAAGCACGGTCCACACTAAAGAATGGTGTCTAAGATGTGGCTACCAGGGCGGATCTCTCTCCCTCAAAGACACCATTTGAGCCATTGTCAGGTCGAAAAACGGGCTAGAGCGCGTTAAGGGCTCGAAGATTGCAGGTTTGGGGACAATACCCAGAAGTAACCATGTTAACGGCCTTGCAAAGCCGCACTATTCACATTGGAGCACTACTTTGATAATGCATCAGCAGATCGTCTGAGGCGTCCTCCCTGATAGCTCCACTCTGTGGTACACCTTTGGCGTGTGGGTGTTAGAGAAGAACAAGAACGAGTGTCAAAGATTAATAGTATTAAGAACACAGCACCTCAAAACAATCAGTGTTCACAGTTTCGATATCAGGATACGTAGAAAAATTATCAAGGAGGTAAAACATTCAAAACTTATGAAGCATTTGATCATTTGTAACTGCTATAGCAGGATTGAACACCGGAACAAAATCTGATCAGCTGTCCCTTCAATTGACTCTCTGAAGAAGTATGGGCATTCGTGTTTTGAAGAACAATGTCATCTTATAGCAGCAACGCGAATAAAGAATTGAAGATCGAAGAGCTTTCTCACCGCGACAAGTGAGCAGCTAAAAAAAATAAAAGCACCAGTTTCTGAAGAATCGAGCGTTAGAACACTTCTTATCCAGATTTAAAGCCCCTCCTAAAATGTGAAGGCTGAAAGAGAAGAGGGAAATATAGTATATATATACATATATATATATATACTATATATACTATATATATATA